TCAGTCACCACACCAGTGTGGATACTGGCATTTAGAATCACAGATTATTCTTTTTGGAAGTATGACCAACATAATAATTTTCGCTGGAAAATATAATCTGAACTAGTTAGAAACATCTAATTTTGTTCTGGTTCTGTCATTGCAGTAAATCGCACTGAATAAATCTAACAATCGCTTAAGTTATCATATCACGCAAAACCGTGCAAATTATACTTTGTCCTCAAATTGTTAATGTTAACAACGTCAGCATTGCGTGCACACATGTAATGTCGAATGATAAGTTTATTTATATCAAGTGCTTTGAGAAAAGCCTATAAATCTAATCGCAATATAGCCGAGACTCCTTCTTTATGTGTACAGATGTGACGTTTAATGACGCAAAGACATGCTTGAATCTCCTGTGGAAATCCACCAGTACCATTAATTAGCTAAGGAAAGCAGATAGTTTTGAACACTGGCTGGTTATGTAGCTTTATATATATATATATAAACATTACACATAATACAGATAAAGATTTATTAGCACATACACTGCACACAAAGTATTGTATAGAGTGCATGTGCTACGTGCTACTTCTGCGGACCACCTTCAGTACAGCACACTGTTTTGTCACTGATAGGCCTTATCACACCTTCAACTCACACCATAAGGGGCACAAGTGTGCGGGTGTGTGTGTACGTATGTCTCACAAAAGGCACTGCCAAGGAGTGTGTCCACGCAGAACTAGAGCTGAGCCAGCTAGACTGGAGCATCTAGTGCAGAAGAGCAATGCAGCAAAACGTACAGTACTGTTAGTCTCCACTTCCCCTCATAAACAGTGAGCCTGTGTATATCTGAAAGCAGACATACCCATTTTCCCTCAAGGAGCTCCTCAGGCTGCCGTCACACTTAATTAAGCACTTGTCTTGAGATTAAACATTCTCATACCTCAGATGCCTTTAGGAAAAAACTGTACCTTTCAGCATCCGCTGCACCTCATAATCCAGATTACCAGTCAAACTGCCTTCATTAGAGCAGGCGTCAGACCGGGGCTCAACGGAGGATCTTAGATCAAATAATGTTAAGTGGCCTCCTTCTGTACGTCCCTGTGGTGTTCCCCGCGCCTCCTAATCCCTGTCTTAACCGTAATCTGTTGTTGAGCTCAGCCTGTCTGCTGGAGGGACTCTAGCCAGCCAGCCTCCCTGGGTCTGAGCCATCACAGCCAAACCACAAATTTAATCAAACTAAATGGTTCACAACCTCAGTCCCATCAATCTGATCTCTCTGTCCCACTGGAGGCTGTGTTGGAGACAGAAAGAGACGGATATAGATAGTGGACAACTATAATGCGCCAATAGGGAGGGAAAGACGAGGGCAAATCAGCCCCCACGTTGCAGAAATGCACCTCGGGCTAAACATAAAGAAGGGTGAAGTCTCCTACGACTTTGACAAGCCAGATATGAGTTATAGCAGAGAGCCCAACCACCAAAAATATACAACACAAGCCTACAGTGATCATTAAACTCGCGCCTAACCACAATCCAAACTCAACACAGGTGATAAGCAAGTTTTTCTCAAAGATTCAGGACTCCTCTACGCTTCGAATTGTGCTCTGTGGTTCCTCATGAGGGACTGGTTGTCTCTCCTCTGCTGTAAAAAACTGCACACCCACTACTTTTGTTTAGGTGGAGAAAACAGCTAAATTAGAGCTTTTCTGTTTTCTTTCACACACAAGAATATCATCAATCAGTTAAACATAAGACCAACAAGGCCAAAATGATGCACGCTGCTTTTTGGAGAATTAAAATTTGGTTCTGGCTAACAGTGATGAGAGACTTTGGTTGATAATAAAAGATTCCAAGACAACCACAGCCTGGAAGGCTTGTAAAAAGTGAGTCTGGCAGTAATTGGGTATGACTTCAATAGAAAAAAAGTCAAATTAAGTGTTTTCACAGTGACGGTATTTATTAGACTTGAATATAGTCATTCGGACTGCATTCATTTGTATGTAAGACACTGACTGAGAATGTTTCAAGCAATTGCTGCATGCACATTTGATTTCATTTTGCTTGTGTGTGACAGTAAACTGCTGCACTAACTTCAATGGGCAAAGTTCGGTTTTCCATTTTTTACTACACCACTGCAAATGTCACAGGAAAGCGTCATGGCTTAATGATTTATTTTGAAATTATGGCAAAACATCTGTTTGCTTTTACAGGGATAGTTCACCCATAAACAAACATGCATTTTTGTTGTATGTATGAACAAAAAACAGACTTATTTCTTATATATTCTTATGTGTTCTACATTGAAGGTAAGTCATACGGGTTTGGAACGACATGAGGATGAGCGAATGATGACAAAATTTTGTTTTGGGTGTACTATCTCTATTTTCCCTCAGACACACAAACAGGCTGAACATCATTAATATGTGATGATGATCCCTGTGTAAGTCTGACTGCAGTACATATGATTGAACAGCAGTGGTGAGGAGGTCTCTCAACCATGTGTATCATACACACTCTCTCTCTCTCTCTCTCTCTCTCTCTCTCTCTCTCTCTCTCTCTCTCTCTCTCTCTCTCTCTCTCTCTCTCTCTCTCTCTCAGACATAGGCTACATACTAAAGAGTGACCGTTGCCACTGCAGGATGACTGCGTCAGATAGCTTCTCCTCTTTACCCATGAAGGGGGCTTCACCCTCACATACACTTCTCTAATACATAATGCACACCGAGGTGTAGAAGAGATCCATGCTCAACTCAACAACATTCAGTCTGCTGCTGCAACACTTACAAACCAAACACATTTACAATACTCCTCTCCTGAGAATTGACCATTTTTGCTGCAATCATCATCTCACACATTTCTTTATATATATTGTCAATTTCCTTCAATTCATTCATCTATACTGTTAATATGTTCAGAGGTTGATCAACTGTGTACAGTATGTTTCACATGAGCAGCTGTAGCCTATGCATGATAAAGAATCTATTTCACAGACAAAAGTGTGTATTTATACTCACTTGAGAAAAAGCTGAATGGAATTTAGCTTACACTGATATTTTATATATAAAGAGGATGATACATTTGTCTATTCAGGATAACCTTTAAGTGAAACTAGAATGATTTTAGAGATGGCGACTGGCGAGATTAGATGAGAGCCTATACCCACGTAAACCCCTAGTTTTCATAATGTTATTACAGCTTATGTAATGTTGCTGAACCTCGAGCCGCGCTACAAAACGGCCATGAACCGATAACGTTTGAGATCGTGTTGTAGCATCTCCTTTCAAGTCTTCTCGCACTTCATCCCAATACTGACTGACGTCTTAAAATTGTTCGCGAACGTAATATAACACGCGACCATCTGGCAAAAAACGCACCTTTTACGTTTAGTAGGCTACTATGAGAGAACTGGAAAGGTGAAAACTGGAATACTGAAAAGATGAGGGAATACTTTCCCAAAGCAGATCCTGCTTCTGGAGGCATCCCGGGCTTTGCTCAATAACTAGCCTACATCCCCCCATTACAATAAAGTAGCCTGCTGCAGAGGCGCGCCATTCAAGCATCTCGCGCTTTCAAAGGTATGTAGCGCGCGCTGGAGGGAACGGGGTGTTCAGCGCAGAAAGAAGACACAGCAACATTCCCATTTCAATTATGGAATCGTCATCATGTAAAAATACCGTTTTCTTCTTCTTCTTACAATTAATAATTATTTGTAATGAGTAGGCTATTTCCAAGTAGGGCTATAATATGCTATCCATGTTACAGCTATGCGTTTATTTCACAAACTTCACCTGATAATGAAGGAAGTGCATAACATTCCTTAGTAGGCAACTTATCGTAGGCGACCAATCAAGAAATAGAAGGGAAAATGTCATATAGCCTTCAGTTCATATATAGTACTTAAAGCAATGAGGGGAAATAGATTGAGTCGTATCCAATATTGACGGCTACACCAAATCCCGCATTTCAGAAATCCCTAGGTAATACCGCACTCTTGCCTTGTTCCAGATCTCTAATCGCTTATCATTCGTTATTCATGAAAATTACCCCTCTCAGAGTGCGCTGGAGAGCAATGTCAGCTGACATGTCGCCTCAGATTGCCAAGTAGCCTAAAAACGAACTAATCCGCACCTTTTGAGGGATGATCAATTTGACAACAGAAAAACTAGTAGATTAAATCTGTTCTAGTTTCTATGGAAACGTGTCAGACCACGGCTGCGCTCTGCCTTTATTCCTGAATAACTTGATTCAAGGGCATTTTTATGTGTGGCGCTAGTGAGGTTATTTATAAGACCATGGATACAAGATGTGTCCCTCGAGAAGTTTGCTCTATATTACTTTGGACTGTAATATCCTCGAGAAAAGCGCTACTGCTTTAAATGAGGTCTGTGAATGTTTGTAGCAGCTTGGACGCAATGTCCATTAACTGGCTAGTGGCTACAATTCATATATTGGTAGCCTATACGTTAGCATACGTGATTTGAATCACATTTTAAATTCACGGATAATGCTAATTAATAAACCTCATTTAATTAACCTCATACACAGGCAAATTATTGTGTGAAGTTTATATTTATAGCCTACTATAGGCTATATGGAGCCTATATGGAAAAAAAAGCTCATAATGACATTTACTTTGTCATGAGATTTAGGATTATGTCTCTTTTGCGAGACATAAAGTCAGATTAAGATCATTCACAAAAGTAGGCTAATCAATATCATGTTAGAACAACGGGGTTACCTTAGACTATAGGCTACAATCCGGCTGGTTTGATTAAATCAGTCTAAAGAGCTGGAACCCGTTCAATAAAACTCAGCACGTGTGCAGCGAGATATAACCTACAAATGATCACTTGATTTATGTTAATGTTTACCATGTGATTTTCCTGGCCAGTGTGTTGAAGTGAAACATTGTGAATCATTAAACAATACAAATGGTGACTATCGCTGCTGATGCGCTCCTGAGCTAGTTAATAAAAACGAACATATAGCTATCAGAAAACTGCTGGTCTTACCTGCTACGGTGTATCTGTCCATGTAATTGAGCACATTTCCAAAACTCAGAATCCCGGCGGCAACAAGCGGAGTCCGGCATCGGAGTAATGCGGCACGGAATTTTTGCCCAGGTTTGCAGGGATGCAGATCTGTACTGGATTTAAGAGTGGGACTCATGCTTCCAGACAGCGTGTGCACCACATCCGAACTGCTGCACCCCTCAATTTCACATCCATCGCTCTCCACGCACATCTTCTGGCACGACAGATCCAGCGCAAACGATTGAACGATTTCTGAACAGAGACAGGACGATTATGACGGAATAGTGTTGCACCTTTGAGCGGAAAATTAAAAAAAGAAAAACTGTTAATCGCTTAGAATAAAAATAATTGATTTGATTATTGCTCGCTGAGCTCGGTTCATGTCTGTACAGTGACAGGATTGAGCGCTCGGGAAGCGCTTTTCTCTCACTCTGTGTATGTGTGTGTGTGTGTGTGTGAGAGAGGGAGGGAGGCGTGGTGGTTGCTATGTAAGCCCCTCCCACTCCGAGCGAATGAAGGAGCAGTAGTGTGAGCGGAATGCTCATGTGAGAGAGGAGATTTTAGCAGTGACAGAACAGCGCACCCAGGGCGCTCGAGTAAAGTTGCTTTGTCTCTGTAAAATAATTCATCGAATAAACTCAACTGACGTGAAACGTCCTCTAAAAGTGTAAATGAAATCAGAGCACAGAGCTGTAAGGAAACATTAGCCTATACACTCCAAGTATAGCAGGTCATCATGGAATCAGGTTGACACAAGACAAAGTGTGAATTATGGGGGGCTTTGGGGGGTGTGACCCTCCCTACTAATATTTAAGCCCTCCAAAGGATGTCAAAACAAATTGTTGGTCATCTTGCAAAGTATAGGCTGACATTAAACGTTTTATTTCTATAATTGTTTAGCCTACAAAAGGGGCTTTTTAAACCCCTGTTAATCACATTCTAACTTGTCGACAAATAGTAAAAGTCGTTTGACTGAGGTGAGTAACCATAGCAACAGGAAGCCGCTCGAGGACTTTGGATGTTATTAGGGTTCGTTAGGGGGACCAAGTAAGTATCCTGTCAAAACGTCTATTTGATGCGCGTGTTTTCACCTGGCAGACGGTGTTTTTTGTTTGTTTGTTTGTTTGTTTGTTGCTTATCTGCAAAATGACAATTCCTGATAGATGATAAATAGACATTTACAAAACGTCTTCAAGATGATTTATATGCAAAACGGGCTTTTTAAAGATGTTTGTACACAGCACATTCTTTCCAGATTAACCGCCCTTTAACGTCATCTTGGAGAAGTAGCCTACTGTCTTTATTTTATAGATTTTATTGCAGATTGACATTCACACGTTTATCACTTGCCATATAATTCATTTTGTGGGCTATAATTCGCAATTAGGCTATATAAAATAATTGTAGTAGCCTAGTTTCGACCTCTTATGTATGAGAATGATGCTGACATAAATTTTATGAAACATTCATATTAAATACCTAAACACTGGAAAAGTTTCAGTATAATAAAACATTTCACCGAAACATAAAACTTTAACATTAAACGGCCTCTTTAAACTTTTGCAATACAAAATATCTGGAATGGAACACCCGTTGAGTGCATTGCAGTTAACTGTCAAAGTAGGCTAGGCCTAATGTTTTATCTCACAAAGTAGCCTAGCTAGTCAGTTTAAGACACAATATTTGCTTAATTCTTATGGAAAGGTTTGCATGGGTTAAAACAGCTGTAGTCAAGTAGTAACACAAGTAATCACCTCATATGAAAGTGATCGTGGTCTTCAGCACTCTGGACAGCTCATTATTACGATCTAAAACCTCACAGTACACAGCCACACTGAATTATCTCATAAACACTGTTTCACCTCATAGTATATTACATTTACTGCATTTACTAATCAATATTCTGCAATCTGCACAATAGCCTATGTGCTGGGAAACATGGTAAGCTGTATTGCAAAATGATGGTAAGCTTTGAATAGAGTGGGCTAATAGAGAGTTTACTTCCTGTACATTGTGTGATTAACTAATTAAGGGTATTATTGAGCACTTTTCGACTGATTTCATTCCCCGCTTTTCACCGAAACCCATCAATTAGCGAAGATTAGATCAAATCATGACATTAACCTACATCTAGTTTCCCTCCTTTTGTTAATGCGCACTTGTAGCCTATGCAGCGCAAACTTTTTTTTTTTTTTTTTTTCGTTTCTGGAGGACAGCAATGTGTCTAGCCCGAGTTAAAATGCCCATCCTTAAAATGGGATTTGCTGTGAGATTTATCTCGATCACAGAAGAGTCTTTTATGAAGTATGCGTCATTCTCACGAGAGAAGGTTGAAAAATACTAGACAAATTATTGTCGCAAAGAGGAGAGTTATTCGTTGTTATTTTTTTCTTCATCTTAATTCAGATCAGAGGGTAGGCTATATATACTTGTCAGAAGAAATTAAACTAAACGGGGTCATAAATCTTAATGTGATCCTGCACTGCCACTCTAGACGGTAAAAACTTGCAATTCAGTCTCTTTTTTTTTTTTTTGCATACATGTGTTAATTGTCAATTTAAGTGTTCATACAGCTCACACAAAACTGAACAATTTTATTTGCTTTTATAAGCTGAATTAATACACTTTTAAATATAAAGGCCATGATTTAATATACCATCATTGTATCAATTCCCCAATATTCCTTAAACTTTAAAAGTTCTATTCAAATTTACATCATAACGACACAAAACGAGTTACTAAATTTGTAAAACTAGAAAAATAAATAAAACTACCAAATGGTCAATGACTCATGCCCCAGTGCATGCTGGGAAGAAGGCTAAAAAAACAAGATTTATTTTTCAGTGATACTTTGATACGTTCGTGATGCTTTCATGCAGTGTAACGTTGGGTCAATATTCTATATACTGGCAGTGTAAATGACCTTCAGTCACAACCACATGAGTGATTTGCATGCCAGCAAATCTCACATCCCATGTACTGGTCACAGACTGTGCAATAAAGAACCAAGCATCCTTTATCTGCCTCCTGCTGTATATCAGCTGCTCTCTTGCGAAGGCTGGAACACAGATAAGTCAAACAATCTGAATGCCTAAAGTTACCTTTGTCATCCACTATTCCTGAGTTCCTGTTGGTTCTCTGCATGGGCTATCAGTATGCATGCCTAGACTGATATAGCAAAGAAACGCACACACTTAGGTTAATTGTGTAAGTATGTGGGTATTTTTTTATTTATTTTGTTGTTGTGGTTCACTTCATATCATTTATTATCACTAAAGGAAGCCTCTGTAACTCCTGTCCCCCAATGACATGATAAGCACTATAGAGACGGAAGGAGAAAGGGGATAGTCCCGTTTGACTTCCGCAATATCATTTATCTCCCTTCACATTCCTTTCTGGATGCAGCTGAACTTCAGACATATGGTTCAGAGTACAGAGAAATGTGTGTTTTAAAACATGTTTAAGACATTTCTTTGATATAATGCACTAAATAATTCACAGAATTCCTGTTAAAATAAAGATGAAAGAAGCAAGTTGTTGTATACTGATTTAATCAAAACCAGAGACAAAGTCTCACGGGCAGACTTTGAAATCAATGGATCTGATTTTTTTGTAGTTTTTACAGGATGCATGAGGATGGAATGAGTATCAGTCTCGTCAGACTGAAGAGATCCAGTCCACAGTCCAGCTATTCAGTTTGAATTTCCATGACACAAGAAGAAACAGAACATGGTTGATAGAAGCTAATCCATGCAATGGTAGCTGCAGAGAGAGAGAGAGAGAGAGAGAGAAAGAGAGATGGGAAAACTGATTATGGAATTGAATAAAGAGCAAGAGCTATTTCTACATAAAAAAACCTGTGCTTTGGCAAGAAATAAGAAAGTAGAAAAAAAGTGAAAAAGGAGGCATGTGGACATGGAGAAAGAGGTCAACACTGAGAGAGTACATGGGACTAAGAGAGACAGATGGAGAAGTGTTATGACCTGCTGGTCTATGCTATAGGGAAGCTGTCAGAAACCAAGAAGGACAGATAGAGAAGATGTGGAAGAGGGAGAGAGAAAGGTTAAAACAATAGTTTGAATTAATGTAAAAGAATGAACTCTAGTGACTGTGTAAACTTAACTCTCCCAAACAAACAATGTTGAAGCAAAGTTTACTCGTGTAACCTTAGAAACAAAGCTTTTTGACTGCTTGAATGTTAAAATTGGATTGTAAAAAGCCCAGTCATGAGTAAAGACTAAAATTAACGTAGATGCCATTCTTCTTATGATGTGAGTATCAGCTGTTATGGGAAGTGTTCCCAGTTCCGGCTGACCTAATTTATGCAGCCTAATTATCATTTAACTGATTTTAATAATAGAAATGTATAATTTTCGATCTGTATGCCAGGTTAAAGAGATGTGTTTACAGTCTAGATTCAAACTGACAGAGTGTGTCTGCTTCCCGGACAATGTTAGGACTGTTCTTTTCTGACTGTTTTGGTGCTAAAAAGAAAAAGGATCTACCGCCAGCAGTCGATTTTGATATTCTTGGTTTTATCAACTGGCCAGAGTTTTGAGATCACAATAGATGTGATTCACCATCTGCACAGCAGCATTATTTCAATATCAAAATATTAATATTATTAGTAGTAAAACAGCTGTAGTTGAGAACTGTCATTATCTAAATCATAAAAGCTCAGTAATTGTCAAAAATGGCCTCTGGTCATTTATAATGACAAAATGAAAAAAAGGAAAAGTTGGTCTTGTTAGGTATTAATATAAGTATTATAAATTTGGACGTAAAGGATATGAGCCAAATGTTCTCCCCATCATGTTAAATTGTTACAGTTAATATTGTTAAATTTGATAAATGGGCCCCTGAGCAATTCCTACACTCAACTTCATGTTTCATATTTTTCCAACACAGGGAAAAAACATTTGGCCTTCAGTAGATCAATCATTTAAAGGATAATGTCGGAACAGATTCCTAAATCCACTTTATTTAAAAGCACAATATTTTTAACATGGAATGGATCAAAGTTAATAGTTAGTGCTCATCTGCAGCGCTGTGGGTCGAGGTCGAGTTGTGCACAGCTTTGGCTGATGATGCTTCTGGTAACTGTGGCTATGGTGAGAGCGGGCTCGGACCAATGCAGTGAATAAGAGGATTCTGGCAGCCGGGAGACTACAGGCTTTTTAGCTGTCACAGGGCGTTATGGCCCCAAGTGGTGAATGGCCTCTGACTCAGCTAAAAAAAAAAGCTGTGCATAAAACCGAGGGGAGGGGGGAGACTGATTTGCAGAAAGGGGAATAAAAGGAATAGGTCACAGCAATGAAGACAATGTGTTTACTTAAACCCAAAACTTTGCAAAGACTACAAAGTTTTAGCTTACATGGTCGTATGATCCAGCCTCCTCATGTAGGCTACAATTCTATTTTGTTTCCATGCTTATTAGCATTACT